TAATTTGCAAATATGGACTCTGTAATCTTGAACCGTATTTTTTATTTATCTTTCCCACAAGGAAATTCTGCATTTATGGCTAGGTTTTTTCTGGGTGTTTTATACTTCTCTGTTGCTGCTGAGATAAACATTTTTATCTGTTTAACTTTCAAGCTGACTGACGGCTTCACTACAGTTTCTGTCTCTGTTCTGTCTCCACTCTGGAAGGCTCAGCTGCTCTGCTTCCTGCTTCTAAATCCTAAGAGGGCAAATCTGGTTGCTTACAGTACCAGGCACCTTCATACTTCTGTTTTTTTTTTTTTAAAGGTATTTAGGCTTTTTTAAAATTTATTTTTAACTTTTGGGTGAACATATAATACTTGAACATGTTTAAGGGGCACAATGCAACTTTCAATAGATATACACATAGCTTAACCTGACTATACCAAGTAATCAGTTTTTCCACTTCCTCTTCTTTTCATTTGAGGTCTACTGGCTAATCTGCTGTGGTTCTTTTTAAAATTTTCTTCTGTAGTTCTTTTTTTTTTTTAATTTATTTGACAGGTAGAGTTATAGACATTGAGAGAGAGAGACAGAGAGAAAGGTCTTCCTTCCATTGGTTCACTCCCCAAATGGCCACCACAGCCGGCACTGCGCCGATCTGAAGCCAGGAGCCAGGTGCTTCTTCCTGGTCTCCCATGCCGGTGCAAGGGCCCAAGCACTTGGGCCATCCTCCACTGCCCTCCTGGGCCACAGCAGAGAGCTGGACTGGAAGACGAGCAACCAGGACTAGAATCCGGCGCCCATATGGGATCCCAGCACCGCAAGTGGAGGATTAAACAACTGAGCCATGGCGCCGGCCCCTTCTGTGGTTCTTTATACAGAATGTTAGCCATGAGCCAGTCAGTCCACTGTGCTGTAAAATATCAGAACCTATTATATTCACCCAACAGAATTTTAGTACTAATTATACAACCTCCAGCTACCTTCCTTCTCTTCCCCATCATGGCCTCCAGCAATCACTATTTTAAATTCAGATCAAATATATATTACTATTATTATTATTATTTTTAATTTTCAGATATGACAGAGAACCTACAGTATCTGCTTTTTTTGTGTATGGCTTATTTTTTAAATATTTATTTATTTATTTGAAAGGCAGATTACAAAGATAGAGAGGAGAGACAGAGAGATCTTCCATTCTGCTGGTTCACCACCCAAATGGCCACAACCGGCCAGGGATGGGCAAGCCAGGAGCCAGGAGCCAGGAGCTTCTGCCAGGTCTCCCACGTAGGTGCAGGGGCCCACCACCTGTGTTGGGAATTTTTGCTTCAAGGATATCAATCTATGGTTTTCTCTTGTGTGTGTATGTGTGTGTGTGTGTTCTTTCCTGGATTTAAAATCAGGATAATGCTGTTCTTATAGGATGAGTTTGGAAGGGTTCCCTGTCTTTCAATTTCTTTGGGCTAATTAAGAATACTTTGTGTTAGTTCTTCCTTAAATGTTTGGCAGAGGGGCTGGCATTGTGGCGTAGTGGATAAAGCTGCTGCCTACAATGCTGGCATCCTATATGGGTACACTGGTTCATGTCCTGGCTTTTCTACTTCCCATCCAGCTCCCTGCTAATGGTCTGGGAAAAGCAGAGGAAGATGGCCCAAGTGTTTGACCCTTGCCACCCACATTGAATATAATGTTCTGTAATGTCTGTTAGGCCTATTTTGTCTGTGGTATTTTTGACTATATGATCTGTCCATTGATGATAGTAGAGTGTCCCTAAGTCCCCCATTATTATTGTATTGGAACTTCTCTCTTCCTTTAGATCTAATAATGTTTGTTTTATAAAACTTTGTGCTCCAGCATTAGGTGAGTATACATTATAAGGGTCATGTATTCTTTTTGACTTGATCCTTTGGTCATTATATAGTGACCATCTTTGTCTCTTTATAGCTTCTGTCTTATTGTCTATTTTGCCTGATAAGTTATTTGAGTTTATTGGAGTGAGAGTGTGTGTGGCTCAGCAGCTTAAACTGCCGCTTGCGACACCTGCATCTGACATTGCAGTCCCTGACTTGAGTCCTAGCTACTCTACTTCCGGTCCAGCTTCCTGCTAATGCAATCCTAGGGTGCAGTAAGTGATGGCTGCAGTAGTTGGGCCCCTGCCACTCACGCCTGGAACCTGGATGGAGTGCTGGACTCCTGGCTTCACTATCTACTTGGGAAGTGAACAAGAAGATGGAGCATCTCTCTCTGCCTTTCAAACAAAATTAAAATAGATAAATAAAAGAAATTTAAAGAGTTTCAAGCATGCAAAACAGGGCAGAAGATAGCATCTCATTCGTAAAACTTACTAAGAACCTTAACATATGTGTTAGTACATCCAGTAGATGGTGGACTGAGTAAGCGAATATACAGCAAACTGTCAGCAGTCATCTTCTCTGGGATTGTGGGAAACTTTCAGTTTTGAAATAATGTTCTTTTTTTCCCAAAAATAATGCTTTTTGTAATTTAAAAATTGATTAAATTCAAGGGTATATTGAAAAGTTCATGGAAAATAGAATTAAAAGATACACTTACTTTGAGGAAAAACATTTTGAATTCCTTGCATACAAGAGCTCTTAAAAATGTTCATGGAAAATATGTATCATGAAAAACTATGCCTGGAGCATGGATTGCATTCTTTTTGCACCAAAGTGAGCCTTTTTTTGGTTAAATATTTATTTTAGGGGCTGGCACTATGGCATAGTGGGCTAAGCCTCCTATTGCTTCACCAGTATCCCATATGGGCGCTGGTCATGTTCCAGCTGCGCCTCTTCTGATCCAGCTCTCTGCTATGGCCTGGGAAAGTAGTATAAGATGTCCCAAGTCCTTGGACTCATGCACTTGTATAGGGGACCTGGAAGAAGCTCCTGGCTCCTGGATTTGGATGGGTTTAACTCCAGCTGTTGGGGCCATTTGGGGAGTGAACCAGTGTATGGAAGATCTCTCTCTCTCTCTGTCTCTATCTCTTTCTATAACTCTGTCTTTCAAATAAATACAGTGAGCTGGATGGAAAGTGGAAGTGGAGCAGCTGGGACTTGAACTGGCACCCATATGGGATGGCAGCATTGTAGGCAGCAGCTTAACCCATCATACCACAATGCTGGTCCTGTGAGCCTACCTTTTCATTCCATTTCCATAAGGTTTTTGAAGTACCTTATATCTTATATTTTGTAAACAGGTTTGTTGAAGGATAATTGTCATTAAATAAGCTGGGCATAATTTAAATGTGCCACTTGAAAATCACATTTGAGGTAATGAACATTCTGAACATTTTCATCACCTCCAAAGGTTTTTGTGCTCCTCTGCGACTCAGTTTCTCCATTCTGTCTCCACTCAAGTCAAGCACTCGTCTGCACTCTGTCACCGCTTACTAGCTTGCATTGTCTAGATTTATTGGCTGTCTGACTTCTTTCACTCAGCAACATTACTTTCAGATTCGTCAGTGAGGTTTTGCCATTATTTTGTTCTTTTTTTGTGGCTGAATAGTATTGTATAGAATACCAGAGTTACTGTTGAATAGTATTTCTTTTT